TTAGTAGTATCATTATAAAAACATCAACCGTGTCATAATAATAATAACAATTGTAATTCGTATCATTAATATCGCTATTATCATTATGATAATCATCAGTATTATGAAAAAAAGAAAGAAAGAAAAAAAAGAAAGGAAAAAAAATATATATATATATATATATTATTTATATATATATATATATATATATCTATATTATTATATATATATTATAATATATTATATATAACATATTATATATATATAATTAATATATATTATAATATATTAATAATATAGTATACATATATATATAATATATATATATATATATATATATCATATATATATTATATTATATATATAATATAGTGTAATACATGTATATAATTATATATATATATATTATATATATAATATATATATATATATTATGTGTGTGTGTGTGTGTGTGTGTGTGGTGTGTGTGTGTGTGTGTGTGTGTGTGTGTTGTGTGTGTGTGTGTGTGTATCAAGCACATTCCGCTATGTAGAAAATCTTTTTACTTTCAGTTCTCGTTTCCGATTAACTTGCCTATAAAACCACATAGTTTTCATTAAAAGGCGTGTAATACTATGGCCAGCTTTGCCTTAGATCATTCTACTACGACTTACAATTCAATAGTAGTCCTTTTGAGAGTGAAGTTAAAATCCAATGGATAATCTCTGAGAGTGAAATCAAAATTCAAGAGAATAGTCTCTGAGATGAATTACCACTGATATCTCTCATAAGTGAGACGAGGATTCTGAACCAAATATAGAAGAAGAATTTATTATCCAGAGAAAAGGAGATGGGAGATAAGTACGAAAGTCTGATAATAGTAATATTTTTAAAATTAACAATAATAATGAGAATAATTATAATGACAATACTACTAGTGGGCGATAATAGTAGTAATAATACTTATACTACTATTACTACTATTAATATAATGATACTGATACTAATACTAATAATAAATGTAATAATAACCATGATAATAGTTATTATAATTATAAAATGCTAAAAAGAATACTGATAATATTAGAGCAATAATAATAAGGATAATAATAATAACCATAATAACCGTATTGATAATAATGATAATGCTGCTACTACACTACTACTAATGGCTATAAAATTTATTATTATTATTAATATTATAATTGTAGTGGTAGTAGTAGAAGCAGTAATAATTATAATAATTATAATAATTATAATTTCAATATTAATTATAATAGTGATAATAATAACAGATAATGTAATAAAAAATAATAATATGATAATATTGATAATGCTAAATAATAGTAATGATAATGATAAGAATGATATACTAATAATAGGATATAATAATATAATATATATAATAATAATAATAATAATAATATAATAATAATAATAATAATAATAATAATAATAATATAATAATAATAATGATAATGATAATGATAATAATAATAATAATAGTAATAAAAATAATAACAATAACAATTAAAAATAAGATAATGAACAGCAACAATATAATGATATAATAAGATATAGTAACAACAAGAACAATAATGATAATAATGATAATAATCTTGATAATAATGTCAATACTATTAATGATATCTGTAATAAAATAAAAAGGTAAACTTATAATGATAGTCATAATAATCATAATAATAAACAATAATAATAATAATATCAATAATAAAATAAGAATAACAACAGCAACAATAACATTATCATGTAATGATAATACGATAATAATAATATGATTTTTATCAATATCACCAGAAATAGCATTAATAATAATAATAAATGATTACAATAATAATAATGTTAATAAATAATAATAATAATAGTAATAAATAATATGTAATAATAATAATAATAATAATAAAATAATTAAATAATAATAATAATAATAATAATAATATAATAATAATAATATAATAATAATATAATAGTAAATAATAATGTTAATAATAATAATAACAATAATAATAATAATAATAGCAATAATAGCTATAATAATGATAATGATAATATGAATAGTAATAATTATATTGATAACAATAATAATAATAATAATAATAATAATAATAATATAATAATAATAATAGTATATTAATAATAACAATAATAAATAATATTAACAATACTATTATATTATTATATTATCATAAATAATCATGATGACAATACACACAGAAAATAGAATAAAAAGAGAAGAGTTGACAAAAGCATTACGAAAATTCCCGCAGGAAGGTATTACAGAGTCGCCCGCCGGTGAGAAAACAGCCTTGTAAACAGATCAGGGTTTAGCGTGAAGAAAATAATAACCCACGGCCCCTTCTTTGGAGGCTGGAGGAGAAAATATTGACAAAGTGACTCGCGGATCGATAGATGTGATAGATGACTTTGGATGTGTATGATCAGAAAGGTTGATGATCGGGTGGGATAAGGAGGGATAAGAGAGAGAGAGAGAGAGGAAGAATGCGAGAGGAAGACGATGATGGAAGGGGTGGCGGTTGCGTCGGGGCTTGGCGAAGGAAGAAAGGAAGAGATTGAGAGAGAGAGAGAGAGAGAGAGAGAGAGAGAGAGAGAGAGAGAGAGAGAGAGAGAGAGAGAGAGAGAGAGAGAGAGAGAGAGAGAGTGAAAGAGAGATGAGAGAGAGGAAGAGAGAAAGAG